TATTGACATGTCAGCATCATGCAGATCCATGATGCGAATCTCCCGTTCCACCACATCCCAAATGTGCTCTATTGGATTGAGATCTGGTGACTGTGGAGGCCAATTGAGTACAGTAAACTCATTATGTTCAATAATTCAGTCTGAGCTTTCTGAAATACTCAGACCAGTTTGTCTGGCACCAACAACCATGCCACGTTTAAAATCCCTTAAATCACCTTTCTTTCCCATTCTGATGCTGGTCTACATGCTTAAATGCATTGAGTTGCTGACATGTGATTTTGCCTGATTAGAAATTTGCATCAACGAGCAGTTGGACAGATATACCTAATAAAGTGACCGGTGAGTGTATATAAAATGGTCTGTGCAATGTTAATGATCCAGTTATTGTCCTTTTTAGATTTCTGGAATAGATTTTAATTCCTACCTAAATAGCATGACAGAAATGATGCATTTGCATTATCAAAACTTGGTGACGGGTTTCACTTTTTATGGTCTTTAAGTTAATAAATGATTAAACAGTAATTTCATTTTGTTCGTAACATGTTATTTTTATTAGTTTTTTTGCTTTCCTTTGGCCTGACTATGGATTTTAGTTTTATTTAAATTCAATTCATGTTTATTTATATAGCGCTTTTACAAAGCAGATTGTATTAAAGGCGCTTTATAATCTAGTAATGTTTGTTGGTATACAATCAAAAACATAAATCATGTCAATTATATTGTGAACAATACTTTTGATTTTTGAGATTAAAGCTATGTTAATATGTTACTAAGAAGCTGTATATAATTTGCCTTCATATCTCCATCATACACTGTAAATAAACTGCAAGGTCACACACAATTCATTCATGTTGTTCCGACACAAATTAAGTTATCTTAACACTTTTAACAAATTCATGTGGATTGAACATAAAAAATTAAGTTGTCCCAATGAAATCCCAAGAATTGTGTTGTTTTTCAGCTCATTTTAAATAAGTAGTTTGGACAAGCAAAAACATATATATTTTTGAGTGTATCCAGTAAATTCTTTTGAAGGAATAATTCACTCAATTAAGGAAAATTACCTCATAATGTTTTCATTAAAATATCAAAAAAAAAAAAAAAACATTAATTCCGCTGTAGCGACCACTAATAAATAAAGGGACTAAGCTGAATAGAAAATGAATTAAATGAATGAATGAATGAATGAATGAATATCAAAAAAAAAAAAAAACACACTATAAGATTCTCATATATTTTGTAGACCTGTGTACTTGTATTATTAAAATTTGTCAAGGAATATTCAAATCCATAGAAATAAGCAATATTGTAATATAGAAGGTGTCCTGTGTCTGCATGCTAGTTGCCTAAATTAAAAAAAGCATGTTTACAGATTTTAAATAGTTTCTAAAGTGATCCATAAATATTGTTCGACTGACTGATTGATCCTTTACACATTCCTCCTCATGACAGTTTAGGCTTTGACAAGAAAACAAGCAGCTCCTTGTCAGCCCAGCTGTCAGGCTGACTCTACTCAAGCTTTACACTGGTTAGTGAGACCCATTTCTGCTGCTAAGAGCAGCGTTTCAGTGAATGCTTTGAAGTTAGTCTTGAAAATGTTATTTGCACGTGAATAACTCCCGCTTTCTGAGTTGTACACATTAAACGCCTTTGAAATGACAGGTGATCACTTCTCTTGTTATTTTCCGACATCGCCCTGTTTTCATGTTCTGTTTCCTTTGTTTTTCTATAAATAGTGTTATTGAACGGCAAGTGAAATTGCTCAGATTTGAAGGACAGCCAAAGGTGTACAAATTTTATAGGTTGTCAGACATTCAAACACTTCCGCTGTGTATGCATAAAAAGAATGAAAGGAATATTGCATATTGTCCTGGAACTGTCTATGGATGCGCACTCATCATTTTAGTATGTGTTTATGGACTGTACAGAATAAAGACATGAAAAATCTCAGTGCATGAGGGAGCTGATGTGTCTTTTTGAGGAGGTGGATGTGGGGTCAAAGGTCACTGCTCTGATGTTCAGTTGCTGTCAATATACTGTGTACACTAGTGGCAAATGCTTACATTATTCAAAGCTTCAACACAGATGTGTATCTCATTAAGAAATGCACATGTTTCGCCATTCCCCCATCAGAGCATGTGCTCTCACCCACACATACTGTACAAAGATTCACCCACACACTTAGGAGGGAAGAGTTCAAGAGCTCTTTGGTACAAGTATAGGGTACGATATTCTATAATATAAAAATGGCTAGTAAAGGTTTCCAGCATCTTAAACTGGATTAGAGTGCATCAGCAGAAACTGAGATGATAGTGGTCACACTGCAGGGAGGCTGTCTCAACATCAGTCTGTAAAAATTGATTAAGTCCATGACATAAAACTTAAATAAATCAGTTTGATCACCTAACAAAATGATTATTTTTTATCTTCCTCTTGATTTTTCCTATTTATTAAAATTGTATTTACTATTTTCCCCAACATAATCATTTGAATCTATAAATTTTTGAAGTTTTTAAAAAGGATTTTGTTAGATTAATTTTAGTTTAGGTTTTGTACTTATCTCTTTTGGACTGATCCAACTTATATGCACAAATATACTATTGTAAAGCATTCTTTAAAAAATTAATGTTAAATACAATTTTCGAGGGGTGAACTCATTTTTGCTGAGCGCTGTATACATTGTTTGCCACTGAAGATTTTTGTTCTTCAAAACAGCTTTGTGAGCTTTATTATAGTGTCTTTCTATCAGTATTTGTTGTTACAGCCTTGTGCTTTTTTTCCTTGCCATAAAATAATCAGGTTTTGTAGGCAACAACAACAAAAATAAAATCAAATGGAAGACATGAATAAAACAAAATAAAGTAATAATAAATGTGACCCTGACCCTAATCCAAACTATGCCTATTCCCTTTCAGCCTCACCTAGGGGGTTAATAGTAGCGTGTCAGCCTTTACATTACTTAAAACTGAATGTAATGCTTTCTCAATCCCATCCATTTCTGCCCCACAGACTTTTAGATTTTCTCTTAATAATAATAACAATGCTAAAGGTCCATTCAAAAAAAGAAAAAAAAAAAAATATATATATATATATATATATATATATATATATATATAAATAAAATTATTGAAATATAATTATTAATTGTTTGATCAAATGGCTATATTCACTAAAATAATCCAATAAAGAACTAGAAAGATAATTTAAACGAGTTATTGCAAAAAGAAAATTACAAACAGCAAAATTTGTAGTATTTATTCATGTTTCTCTTGATTTTTCCTATTTATTAAATGTGTCTACTATTTTTTCCCAACATATTTATTTGAATGTATTGTATTGAATATAAAATAAGGTTTTTGTTACTGACTGATCTAATAAGTTAAATAAATTTGTGAGGGGTGTACTAATTTATTCAAAACTGTTTTGTGGTTTACAATAATAACAAATTGTGAGCTTTATTATGGTGTCTTGCTATTAGTATGTTGTTAGAGTCTAATGTGTTTTCCTTGCCAAAAAAACGATCAGGTTTTGTAGGCAACAATAATAAAAAACTAAATAAAATTAAATAAGTAAATAAATAAAAGCAAATAAACAAACAAGTAATAAATGTGATCCTGATCTCAACTATTCATATTCCCTATCAGCCTCACCTGAATTTCACCTGAATTTAATAGGGGGTTTATGTTAAAAGTAGCCTGTCAGCCTTTACAATATATGAAACTCAATACTGTTTCATTCCCATCTCGTTCTGTCCCACAGACTTTTAGAGTTTCTTTTAATAATAATAACAATGTTGTAAAGTGTCCACGGCTCCGCGTAAACAAGCGCGTGAGTCCCCCGCCCCTCCTCTGCGCGAGCGAGCGAGCGAGCGCTCCTGTGTGCGCGTGCTGCTGCTGCTGCCAGTTCCGTGTCGGCCGCGAGTTTACCAGCCACGCACTGCCTGCACGCGCTCCATCCACCGCCGGGCTGCAGCGATGTGACTCTCTCCGGTTCTCACTACCCCCTTCCACGGTCTCCATTACCGAACCGGCGCAGTGAGGCGAGGGGATTCGTAACGGTGAGTCTATATTCAATGGCCACGGAGCGAGGGAATCTGCGCTGCGTTTATCGGTTTGGGGGCACCGAATGTGTGTAAAGTTTGGGGAGGGGAGAAACCGTGTCATGTGGTACGACAGAGGCTGCGACTCCGTCAGGCTGATATGCTGGAGCGGAGAGATGCGTAATTACGGAATGTAAAAACGGCGTCGCGAGACGAGCTCAACTTGCCATGTGTTATAATTTCCATGGGGATGACGTCACGCAGTCCTTGACGCCCGTGCGCGCGGCTCGCTCTGATGAGATAACGGGACTGTGACACAACTGCGCGTCTCGGGTGCACACTAAAAGCTAAACAGGAACAGGTCATTGCTTTATAGCGCGTTTACAAATGGAGGGTCGCAGTCTGTTTATGTTAGTTATTAATCACGTATCAGCCCGTGAGTTGCTGTTTTGCTCTTATACAAGTATGTATTACATAAAAGCCAGAGAGCGAGTGGTACGTCATCGCAAAAATGATTGACCGATGATGTTGTTCCTCTGAAAACACAATTCAACAGTGCATGCGAATGTTTAAATGTGTGAAAAGTCTGACCCTCAGAGAACCAAGTTCCTACGTAGATGATGTTCTCATGTCGTTGTTGAAAGTGCGTTTGGAAAGCCATTGGTAATAAAAATCATTAGTTTTTAAGGCATATGTGGCATTGCAGAAATGCTGGACTTTCACAGCTGAGTACTACAGACAGCTTCACTACTGTACAGATTCCATATAATACTACATTATTGGGGTTTGTTGTCACAAAGGCAAGGCAAGTTTTTTTATACAGCACATTCCATACACAATGGCTACTCAAAGTGCTTTAAAATAAACAGGAATAAAAGAGACATGTAAGAAGTGTAAGAAAATAAAAAGAAATAATGAAAATAGATTAAAATGTGTTAAAACAGGTTAAAAATAATAAAAAGTGTATTCAGTGACATACATCCTGAGATAATTATACATGATGCTGACCATGTGTCAGGTACAAAAAAATTATTTGTTGCAGGCTGTTTTTTTCACTTAAAGGAGATAAGAGATTACTAAATGTGTTCAAAAGATGTGCATATATTACATTTATAAGTGTAATTAGTTTTTTCTCAGTCAAAAAAATTGCTTTCATTCAATGGGTTCTATGCACAGAGTTTTAAACTTCCGGTATAAAAACTTAATGTGACTATTTTTAAATTTCACAAGGTTTTGCAGCATCAATGTTTTGATTTAATTACAATACATTCAGTTAAATTGACTTCAGCATTCATTTAGTTGCTCAAACATAAAATGAGATGGAAAGCCATTGTAACCACTTGCACCGTCAGAAGCAACAGGCTAGCGCAGAAATTCCAGTGAAAATACTGGGTTAAAATAATAGTCATATTTTAAAGACATGGCAGGAGGAAATGGGATATAATGCAGTGCTTCTTGTCCAGTCTGAGACCCACTTCATATCATATATCTAACAGGCACTGAAGATCGCAGATTTTAAAAGAAATCAGATCTGAAATGTGCCAATTTTGTAATGCAAAGACAGGTCACCCGAAGCCCTCGAGCTGCCTGGCTGAAAATGAAAAGTCTGTGTCCATGTAGCCCATTCAAAGTGTTAGAGGACTAATTCAGCTTATTTATCAAAATAAACAGATACCATTAAATTGCATTAAACTTGAGCTTCATTTGATGCAGCATTTAAATATTTTAAATGTGATTAATATAATGCAAACAAACAAAATATTGACCCACAGAAAAATAGCTTAATATTCTTCTTTTTAATACTCAACCGTACTGAAATTAGGCTCATGTTCTGTATAGTCTCAAAAAAGAGCCTCAATATGATGGCTGTATCTGGTGGTTTTACCATGGCCACACAACCTTCACATCATCAAGCCAACAAAAACTTAAAGGAGCTCATGAAATGACACACCCTTCACTTTTTCCCTGTCTGTCTTGACAGGGACTTTCCTACAAGTTTTGAGCCTGAAAGAAGTCCTGAACTCTGATACACTTGCTTAACAAAGCTCAGCTCTCAAGTCTGGTTTGAGTTGGACTGGTTTCAAAACACAGTGTGTGGTGTAATAGTGGAAGCACAGCACAAAACTGAACAGTCATACTAAAAGTTGGAAATACGTGTTATTACAATAAACCCTTGTATGCTTGTTTTGTTTTCAACCAGAGTCACTCTCTCAACAATAATGTCTTCAAATCGAAGTTATAACTGCCTCAAAAAGGAGGCGATAATGAAATCGCTGGCGCACAGGCAGCGCAGTGAGTCCAGCTTGTGATCTTCTGACCTCTGTGGACCCTTGAGTCGAGATGGCGACCCACCGAAAGCATCTGGTCCGAGATTTCAACAGATACATCACTTGCTCCATTTGCCGTGGGTACTTGATCAAGCCCACAGCTGTCACAGAATGCCTGCACACCTGTGAGTCACACTCGTCTCACCAGCTCTCTTTTCTCAGAATATTTTGGTACTTTATTTCCCCAAAGTGTTGTTTCTTTCTTTGGTGTTGAGATGCTTATCATCAGAATAAAGCATTTGTTTCATTTGCTGAGCTTATTTCTTAAAAAAAACTTAGCTAAAACCTCTACAACATTTTCAGGCTGCAATTATCATGTATTGGACAGATGGTAGATGTCTTTTGGTAGATGCCTATTGGTAGATGTCTTTTAGACCTGCTCATACATGTCTGAGCATCATCATGTCTTTAGTTCTGTCGTTAAAACATATTTGTGTAACATTTAACATGCCTGACATCCAAATTCTTGGTCAGGCCCTCTTATAATGTCTTGTAATGTTTACCAGATATTTAGCAGAATGTAACAGGTCAAAAGATTGACTCAGAATTGCTATTTGGGTGTCTATCTAAGGCTGGAGGGTGATTAAAAGTTCACAGTAACCTTTTCAAAATTGGTAGTGTTAGGGAGTAACTCATTACAACCAGCATTGTTATTGATATTACAAAAAAACAAAAAAACAAAAAAAAAACAAATATATATATATATATATATATATATATATATATATATATATATATATATATATAATTTGTTGGTTGATTTAAATAAACTTTAAAGGAATCATTCACCCAAAACTGAAGATTCTCTCATTATTTACTCACCCATTACTTGTTCCGAATCTGTTTCTTTCTTCTGTTGAACACAAGGCAAGGCAAAATTATTTATATAGCACATTTTTATCATACACAATGGTAATTCAAAAGTGCTTTACATAAACAGGAACAAAAGAGACAAGTAGAAGAAAAATAAAAACAAATAATAAAAATGATTTAAAAAGATAAAAACAGATTAAACTATGTCAAAAACAGGTTATTAAAGAATGAAAAAGAATAGAAAGACATATTAGTTTGATCTGTCTGACGTAGCACAGTGCTCATTCAGTAAAGGCACAGCTAAACAGATGTGTTTTTAGTCTTGATATGAATGTGTCTAATGTTGGAGCACATCTGATCATTTCTGGAAGCTGATTCCAGCAGCGGGAGCGCAGTAGCTGATGGCTGATTTACCACGCTTTGACAGAACTCTTGAAGTTTCTAGTTTATATGATCCTAAAGGTCTGAGTGATCTGTTAGATTTGTATTCAGTGAGCATATCTGTAATGTATTGAGGTGCTAGGCCATTTAGGGATTTTTAGACAAGTAGTAATACTTTAAAATCTATTCTGAATGTAACTGGGAGCCAGTGTAGAGGACCTGAGCACAGGTATGATGTGCTTAGATTTTTTGATTCTGGTCAGAATCTTGGCCTCAGTGTTCAGTCTTTTTGGGAAGGCCAGTGAGGAGTCCATTACAGTAATCCACCCTGCTGCTGATAAAAGCATGAACATAGTCCTCACTGGAAACAAAGCATCTAATACTTGCACTGTTTTTGAGATAATATAGGATGCTGATTTACTTACTGACATAACTACTGAAACTCAGATCTGACTCCATAATCGCACCAAGATTTGACCTCTTGACAAAGGAAGAGATATTAAAGAAAGCTAAAACCATGTTACCATTGACTTCAACAGTATTTGTTTTACTATTATAGAAGTCAATGGTTACTAGTTTTCAGCTTTTCTCAAAATATATTGTTTTGTGTTTAAAATAATAAATAAGAGAAACTCAAATGGGTTTGAAACCACTTGTGAGAGAGCAAATAGTGAGTAAATAAAAATTATTGTGGAAACTATCTCTTAACGATTAAATAAAAAAAATTAAATGAGAAAGGTTGTGTTGTTAACTAGTTCTAAATTTTACATAAATTAAGTTGAAAACCTTCTAAAACTCAAATAAAAATTAAAAGAGACAAAACTAAAATTACAAGCACTTTAACTGACTAAAACTAAAATAATAACTAAAATAAATGTAAAAATGAATACAATACTTGACAAATAAAGTAACATTTGAAAAACTACTTTTAAATATTTTTGTATCAATGTACACAATATAGAAATGTGCACAAAATGTATTTATGTATAATACATTTCATATATTTTTTTAGTTTTGTGGATTTTTTTATTACAAATTGTGTATTGATGACATCTAATACAAGTTGATCTGTTATGCTTATAACATTTGTATTTGAGCATTGGCATGCAATTTATCCAAAGTTGCCTGCATTGCAACATTTTATCAGTTTCCTGGGAAACTTTGTGTGTTTGATTAATACATTTTCTGACCCTGGTGTTCTATCACCAAACTATTTGAGCCATCATGTTGTTGGTTATATAATGGGCTGAATGTATGCACATTGTTTTTATTATCTTATCTTCAGTAAGCAGTTTGATAGCTTGAATAATTTGATTTGACCATCACTTTCTCTTGTTCCTCTTCTGTTCTTCCTCTTGTTCTTATTCCACTTTCCTGCAGTTTGTAAGAGCTGTATCGTTCAGCATTTTGAGGAGAGTAATGAGTGTCCTGAATGTGGGATACAAGTCCACGAAACAAATCCTTTAGAGATGCTGAGGTACCCAAACACTTATTTCTTACATACACAAATTTAGTACAAGCACGAGTTCTTTGTGTTATATGTGTAATCTTGGCCTCTGCTTTTGCAGGCTAGATAAGACCCTAGAGGAGATCATCTTTAAACTGGTGCCTGGACTAAGAGAAAGTGAGTGCATGCATACTCCATCCATAAGGCGCGTCAGAAATTCTCTGTGCAGGTCATGTGCTTGTGTTTTGGTTTGTATACCTTTAAACAGCTTCTTAAATGTACTTTCTTTGCATGCCTGTGTTTATTTACTAGAGGAGGAACATCAGGAAAGTGAATTTTGGAGAAAACACAAGATCAAATCAAATGGAGAAGGTAATTCATTATTTTCAACCTTAGAACCATGTACACAGTGTACATTGGAGATCAATATTGGAGAGGAATTCATGTACACTTGTTTTTTTTTTTCAGAAATACTGTAATCTCCATTTATGTTCAAAATTGGAAGGAGTTTTAGTTTTGGCAAATCAATGTTAGTTATAACAGTGTTTTACAAATTAACCAAGGGGCTTTAACCATTTATTTGGGTTGATAACCCAGTGATTAAAATTGGAGAACAGTAATAATTGTAGCATTACAACTTTCTACTATAAACTTTCAGCAGCCAAAAATAAGGCCCATCAACTCCAAAACAATTTGCTTGAAAAAATACTTTATATATATATATATATATATATATATATATATATATATATATATATATATATATATATGTACTGTCAATCGATTAAAAAAAATTAACTAATTAATCGCACCTTTTTTTAAAAAATTATTGCGATTAATCGCATTTAAAATACTGAAACTTGTAATTTTGGCTATTTAAATGTCAAATAAATGTAAACGCAAGACAAAAACTATTTAAATTCATAATATAATTGTTTATTAGAATTAAAATTCAAAATATAATTGTTTAATAGAATTTTTGTTTAACTTGTAACACAGATTTCTTCATGTAAACAACACACCCACAATAAACCATCAAGATCCTGGCTTGACAGCCATATTACAGAAATTAAAACACAGGCATGTTAATGACATTTAAACTTCAAAACAATCAATGCCAATAAAGAAAACATTGATTTCCATGTTGGATTCTAAGTGGACTGCAAAAAAAAATGCCAAAATACAGGAATTGCAGATATGGAAAATGAAAAATATAATAATAAACTATAGAATACAAACAGTTGCACTCATTGTAAAGTTTTATTGCTGTGAGTTGAGAACATTAGTTATAGAGTAGAAACAAGTTTGCTTAATCCTCCTTTACATTTATCCAGTTGCTAAGACTAGGAGTATCCCGCAAGTGCACAGAGACTCCTAAATGCCCGCAAATGAATGATAATTTCTCGCAAACCGGTCGTTAAATACATTGCACACCCCTCTCGCCCTTACTCAGATACGTCGCTCACTCCACTCCTGACACAGACACACACAAACACACACACATCGCGCTGCAGACGTTTTGGCCCCAAAGGCCTTCCATACTGGAGCGACTCCCCTCAGATTCAACACGCATGATCACGTTCATCAAATTTGCTTAAACTAAGCGTCCTAAAGTATTACTGTATTTCAGGAGGATTCTGACACAACAACGCGAAGCATACCCTTTCATTGCGTTTAATGAGGAAACAAGCTAAACTTGGAGGGCTCATGCTGAAAGGCAGAGTAATGCCCTGTCTTTGACAGCTCGCGACTTCACCAGAGACGTTCTGAGTACATTCACATAGACACCAATACTCCGATTTTAATATGATTAAGATTATACTCTTATTAAAAGTCTACCATGTAGCCTTAAAAGGAACCTTACCTTAAAGGAACACAGAGTCACGAAATGTGGAGGATTTTCTTTCTAGGATTTTTTTTAACGCATTAATTATTTAAAATTAATTGCATGCGTTAACGCGTTAATTTTGACAGCGCTAACATATATATATATATATATATTTTTTTTTTCAAATAATGCATTTGGTCATCATTTAACAACAAAAACACGGTTTGTATCATGTAAGGATGGCTGAAAAACAAAGTGAAACAGGAACAAACAAATGCTTACAGATAATCCCAAGCGTAAAGGCGGCAAACAAAGTAACAAAGCAAAGGGTCAAAAACGGCAAAGCAAGGAAAAATGCATCGTAATGATCACTAAACGGTTTAACAAGACAAACCAAACAATGTCTGTATACGTGCTGAGTTTATAGTCCTTGAAATTAGTCCATAATGATTATCTGACTGTGTGTAATCAGTGAGAATTAGGTACAGGTGTGTGTGAATTGCATGCTGGGAGTTGTAGTTTGTTAACAAAGCATGTGTGTAGTTCTCCAATTCTCCGCAGCTGCTAGATCACTTGTGATCGTAACAGTTAATGTACTGTAGCAACATTGTTGGCCACTGATTAATTTTTTAACAATAACCCATTTTTCCATAAACAGTTTATAGCGTGGGAATGACAGCTAATTAGAGCCATTTATACATTATGCATTACAAAAAACTAAACTGTAAATAACTAAACTAAACAAAAAATAATTTAACAACAAAATACAAGCAATAACTGTACATTTGATGTTATTATTTTTTTATTACAGAAGATATTTGTAAAACAACAGGTATTTCACTGTATAATGAAAAAACTGGAAAATTCTGTAATAAACACAGACAATTACCTGTAAAATAACGTTTATTTTTTACAGTGTTGTCTTTTATAGGAAATCACTAACCTCCCACTGACTTCACTAGTCTCTTACAGACATCGCTAGTCTCTAACCCACATCTCTAGACTATCACAGACATCACTAGTGTCTCATAGACATCCCTAGTCTCTAATAGGACATCACTAGTCTCTTACAGCACATCACTACTCTCACACTGTTCTCCCATGTGATCTTGATCAGCTCTTTTTTTTATAATTTATCTTCCACAGTTGAGTACTGTACTGTTTTTTTTTTTGTGAAAACTTTTTCATTTGTTTTCTATCAGGGTTTAGATTATGACTCTGGGCTAAACATTTAATTATTTTCATGTTTTTAGCTTCAAGGAACTGCTTTACTTGTTTAGCTGTGACACATCCTTCTCTTCTTTCCACTGACTTCTTTACACACGTTGGATTCAGTTTTTCCAAAGTTTGACAACAAGCATAATGCTTTCCACCATAGCATGAATGTCTGTGTCAGTATCTGCAACCAAATAAATGAAATGAATGGACAGCTTATATATTCCCTGTGTCTTGTGGCTATTGGTTGAAACTTATTGTTATGAGTGACATGACATAGGTATTCCTTGTCTTCTGGCTATTGGTTAGAAGAACTAATTGTGATGAGTGACATGACATTAGGTCTTCCTTGTAGAACTAGCACTAAAAGCTGCATTTCTCTGTTGACACAATATGCTCCTCAGCAGAGTTTAGTCTAGCCTGCTATTGAACTGGTGATTATCAACTCCATCTGTAGCGTTGAACTAGCTACAGCCATTGAGATCCTCCACATTATCCTCTCCTCTCCTTCATTTGTCTTTTGTGGACGACCAACTTTTCTGGGTCTCCTTTTGCCTTCATCTAGATAACCTGCTGTCCGAGGGTTTCAATCACCTGTGATTCAAATCAGTGAAAACTAGAATGTTTGGCTGGCAGATAAATAGTTTTGTCAGATATTTAAGGAAAATCACCACCAGGTGAAAAATTAACACCAGCTTAACTTTTATCTTTTTTTGGAAGTGGCACATCAAAACAGGTAAAGCAGTCATGATCTAGAAAACCTCTAGAAAAACTAACTTCAGTAGGATTAAGCAGTGATCTAGGGGATTGTAGGTTGTTCTCTAATTCAGATTTTCACTGTAGGCAGATTATATCAATACACCTGATGGCTAAAGGTCAGATTTTCTTTGTCTTTCTTCTAGATGGTCCTAGAGCTAAGAAATCTCGACTGAGTGGTGAAGATGATGATGGGAATGGTGGAGACTACCACAGGAGTGATCCTCAGATTGCTATTTGTCTGGACTGTCTAAGAAACAATGGCCAGTCAGGAGAAAGCATAGTTAAGGTGCACCGTTTAGTTCAATGTGTATGTTAGACTGTATGCTTGTGTGCATGTTTGTAATCTGCGCTTTTTGTATGTCTGCAACAGGGTTTAATGAAGAAATTCATCCGCTGCTCCACCCGTGTTACAGTGGGAACCATTAAGAAGTTCCTCTGTGTAAAGTTGAAGCTGCCAAGCTCTTATGAGGTAAGATACTGTTTTTATTATAGTCTCACTAGGCTGTCAACAAGGGCAAACTGCATTTGTGTGTGTGTATTGAGTTAATAGTTTTCTTGCACAATATGATACGGATATTAATAAATGAGCCCTTGACGGGTTTACAATAAGTTGTGAAACATAATACTCAATGAAAATAATTTCAGAGCCTCTCCTGTTCTTTAAAACATTTAAAGTTAAATCTCTGTCTTTGTTTCTTACAGCTTGATGTTTTGTGTAACGGTGAGATTATGGGTAAAGATCACACCCTGGAGTTCATCTACCGAACTCGCTGGAGACTTCAAGGGGACAGTGTGAGTATATGCATCCGATTCAAATGTTATAACTCGATTGAATGGGCGTTACCAGTGGTTATCAGCTGACAAATATGGGCCAGTAGGAACTTTTGCACCTACTGGTAAGCTCAGAAGGCTGTTATTAACCATCCACATGGTTAATCAGGTATAGATCACATACGGCTCCGGAAAGAATTATTCATATTAATTATATAATAAGAATTATTTATATTATCTATTAAATTTCCCATTAATTGTATTTTATGAACGTCTACCCCAACCCTAACCCTAAACCCAAACATCACAGTAAGGTAAAAACAGATCTAGAGTCTTCTCTATTAGTATAGCTGATTAACTATGTGGATGGATGATAACAGCCTTCTGAGCCTTCCAGTAGGCACAGAAGGCCCCTACTGGCCCATATCTATCAGCTGATAACAACTGATAATTCCCATTCAATTGAGTAATAACATTCGAAGTGGGTGTTATATGAGTGTGGCTTAAATTGTGGCAACGTTGTTGGAAGTGAATTTCCTCAAAATGATATTAAGACCAGCTTAGCATCCCCAGGAGAAAAGTGGCTTTTCTTCTTAAATGTTGTTAATACTTTCGGTAACACTTTACAATAAGGGTTCATTAGTTAATGCATTTACTAACATGAATTAATCATGAACAACACATGTACAGCATTTATTAATCATAATTGATCATTTACTAATGCATTATTAACATTTAAGTCCATGCTTGTTAACATTAGTTAATGCACCATGAGTTAACATGAACTAACAATGAACTACTGTATTTTCATTAACTAACATTTACTAACATGAACAAATACAGCAGTAAATGTATTGTTTATTGTTTGTTCATGTTAGTAAATGCATTAATTAACATTAACTAATGAACCTTATTGTAAAGTGTGACCATACTTTCTTTTGATTAATTTGACAGTCTGCTTCAGAGTCCAGAATAAAAATATATGATTATTTAATATAAAATCAATAGAATGCTTATTTTATTTGAAAACAATATCTGTGACTGTGTATTTGCATCCTTTAGATGTGCAAAAGTGTCACAAAATTGGTGGTTATATGTGGGATATAATTTAGGGTTGTCAGTAAATGTGCATTAAAATGCAGATTACAGTCACATTCAGAAAATCTGATACTATCACTTGAAGCAAGTCCTCTTCAGACATCTCTTTTATTTAAATACACAGAATACAAAACAACTGCTACTTTTTCATTTTGCTTTATAAATACTAGTTAACCTCCAGGTTTACTTCCAGGTAAACTTAGAGTGCAGTTAAACAGAAAGTATAACAAATCTTTTTTTTACAATCCTATTTGCTGAAATAATAAAAGACAAAATTTACGAGGGTGTTAACAACACTTTTAGAAAAGGAAAAAAATTGGGCGAGACTGATGACAGCAGCCAGAGGAGAGAATAACATTAAATTTATTCTCAGCCCCATAGACACTGTATTAGAAACACCTTGCGTAAGCGGTAGTTCGTTTTTTGTAATTTGACGCAAAGATGATATAATACATTCATAAATGCATATAAATGTTCATACGATTTAAAAATAAATCTATATATTAAAAACTTTCAATAAGATTATGATGACCGTTAAACGCAATATAACAGTTTTGTGAAAAGGGTCCATTGTAATTAATAAAACAATAATAGCATCAGTAGTTTTTTTTACAGTAAAAACAAAACTGCTTATATTTCTGTGACCCTTAGATATAATTATTTTCTAAATCCATGTGATCTTAAATAGTTTTCTTTAGATACTTTTGCAAGCATTGTGTTTATTATACCAAACTAAATATGTTTGTTTGTTTGATTTAACTTACCTTTTAAAAAGACTTTCGTTGCTTGTTCAAACTACCTAATTAAAATGAACCGAAGCAACACAATTGTTAAGTTTTTTGTAGGACAACTTGTTTTATGGTCAATCCACCTAAATTTGTAAAAACGTGCAAGTTAACTTAATTGACTAATGATAGGACAACATTAAAGAATTGTGTTGAACCCAGCATTTTTTTACAGTGTTTACACTTTAAAAAGTGATTAGTTACTTAAAGCAAGTAAATCAACTGCTTTAAAAGCAACAAGTGGACTTTACTTAGAAATAATATAAGTAAACCCATTCTAACTAAGTTGACTTAACTTAAATTTATGCAAGTTTAATACAATTAACTAATCGCTTTTATACAGTGTATATCGACCATTACATTTTAGTAAGGTGTTCACACATATTTTGTGTTTGCATTAAACAGGTTACAAACCTCTGGTCAGGAGACTCCCACATTTGACAGATCAATTATTAAAAAGTTAGTTTGACCCTGAATTGGCGTGTATGTGTGTGTGTTCATGAGAAGTGTGAGTGCGAACAGCTGTTGCTGAGTTGGTGGTGTTTGTAGGGGGCAAAAAACCCACTCTCACAGCTACTGACAGATCTATGAGTCATATTTCTCCAGTTACACACACACATAGACCAGAGGTTGACACAAAATCAAAGGACAAATCCACGCCCTGAGGTTGCGTCCTTGCTTTTCACACCACAAGAAATTTGGAGAGAGAACTATGAAAATGATACGCATGCATATTTGAAGCTTAAGTCATTCTCTACTTTGGTTTCTACCCCAGGCTTATCCCATGGTTCTCGAGTACCGTCCAAGGATCGACTTTGGCTAAACCACACTTACAGCTTACAGCAGAAATCTCATGCAGACTGATGTCAAGAGATGAACTAAATGCAGAAAAACTGAATGATTGTGCCTCCGTTGAAAGACAACAACACAATGCCCGGTGACTGACAGGACTGCTCTGTTCCTTCTGTGCACTCAGCCTTTAATTCTCCGTTCCTCCCTCCTTCATGCTCCCGTCTGACAGTCGTGGCTCCGCCCACTGGCTCTGGATCAAGTTTGACGATTATATTCCTCCAAAGCTTTCTCTGCATGTTCTCTCTATGACGATGCCTTAGCATAGAGCGGCCCGTTGGGATTATCTGATAGCAATCTAGCACAGACGGTAAGCTAAAACTCATAGCAAAGATGCTTCCCGGCCAGGTGAGAGGAGAAGAGGGGAAACTGAGACTTTTTTTTAGGTAGATTTTAGATTAGAGCCGTTTTAATCCAAGAGTTTGCACTATAGAGGCAAATCCAAATGTCTCGCTGTATTGTGGCTGTTCTGTTTTACCTTTGCACTCTCTCATTTCTTTTTAGTTACTTTGCTCTCCTGCTCTCACCACCCACATGGTCCTTCACAAATTCAGTGACTCTTTTTCATGTCATCATTCGCGCACCCTTTATTTCGCACACACACATGTGCTCTCTCCTTCTCAGCCTCTTTCCATCTTCCCTCACACTCTCTCATTTTTCTCCAATGGTGTTTTTGGCTCTGGTCTGAAGTATTGATGGATCTCATTCAGTTGGAATTGAATGAGAGCGCTGTAGATGTCCCAAAATAACAGCACTGAAAGGCACTCTGGGTAAGCGTTTTCTCTCTTTTTTTTTGCCTCACACTGAGCTAAAGCCAAATCTTACATTCATCCAGACCAGATCTTTATCTTAATAGAAATGATATAACAATATCTGATGCCAGATATTCCTAATGCAGTAATTCACTGAGAAAGCTCATCTTTAAAGACAGCTGAATGGGAATGAGTGAAGAGTGCCAGCTGCATCTCTCTAAGAGCAGCTTTGGCTCACAGTCTGGCAGTTGTAAACATTCTGTTGTTTCCCGTTTAATCTGAAAAATATTTAAATGCGATATCAGACAGGCCTCAATAGGCGTGTGAATTTTAATAGCAAAACCCAGAATGTCAGTAACGCCACATTTATTGTTTATTTTGTATGTAATGCAGCAAAATAAGACTATATTGACACAACATTGTGCAACTGAAACAGAATGTGCAAAAAAATATTTCCACAATAATATAAAGAAAATATAATAAATGATCGGCCACTTTATTGTTACTCTGCAAGATTTTCTGTGCAAGGTAAAAATCTTTGTGTGTGTGTTCAGCTGAAGAAATTTAAAAAACCCAGTTTAGAACTTGAGTGTGAGTAAATGGTTGGGAAAGTTTGATTTTGGGAGAAAAATCCCTTTGAGATGCATTTAAAAATATATGTTTACATAACAAGACAACAAGATTAATGATCCAGAAAGCAGCAGCTTTCATTATTGCTCTGAAAGCTACATAACTACAAAGAATGCTGTGGATTTGCATTAAAATCACAATTAGTGAGAGAACATTGTGTTTCTTAGATCTTTTTTTCACCTTAAAACATCAAAGTTTAAATCTTGTCTAGGTAGTGCACTTTAATAATGCATTATGTAATGTTTAAAAAGTACATCAGCAGATGAAGAGTTTGTGGCCTTCTGTGAAAGTAATGCAGTTGAATTCGTTTTTGACTTCCTCTGGAAACATTAACACCTGTATTTAGTGTTGTCCACTAGTTGGCGTATTGACAAAAACATGTTAAAACCAGTGGTAACCTGTGAGCTGTCCTTTACACTTTGAAACACATTTGACACTGTTACTTATCACAATGAAAATTCACCGATATGACCACACGTTAACATTTATCATTTTTAAAAGCATTTAAAGTCCCATGGAAAAAAATGCAAGTGTGCAGGGCATTATTATATAATGGCATTAATATATGTGGTTACTTCCACAAAGTGGAAGAAAAGTCCAAATCTGATTTTTTACTATAAGCTCTGCATATCAAGAAGTTACTGAGGAGAAAGTCTGAAACTCATCATCATGTTGTTTAAAATAGTTTTTGGACATTAGTATAGTATAGTATAGTATAGTATAGTATAGTATAGTATAGTATAGTATAGTATAGTATAGTATAGTATAGTAAAGGCAATAGGTTAACTATCTAAGTTTATTTACATAAAAATGTTAATTTTTTCTTAATGGTGTATTAGCCTATGACATGAATATTACTTTAAAGTTAATACTTACAGTTAATACATGGACACCAAATTGAGACATTGCCAAACCAATTTTATGCATATTCCCAGAATCCAGAATGCATTTTCAGACTTCAAATTTCAAATCTGCAGCATTATATTGCTCAAAAATGTAATGTGTTAGTGGCTGCACCGTGGCGCAGTGGGTAGCACGTTTGGGTCAGTTGGTGTTTCCGTATGGAGTCGATGTTCTTCCCGTTTTCTGGGTTTTCCTCCGGTTTCCTCCACAAGTGCAAAGACATGTGGTACAGGTGAATTGGGTAAGCTAAATTGTCCGTAGTGTATGTATGTGAACGAGTGTGTGTTTTCCCAGTGATGGGCTGCAGCTGGAAGGGCATCTGCTGCATACTGTAAAACATATGCTGGATAAGTTGGCGGTTCATTCCGCTGTGGCGACCCCAGATTAGTAAAGGGACTAAGCTGAAAAGAAAATGAATGAATGATGAATGAATGTAATGTGATGGTGATATTCAGTGTTGAACAGGATTACATGACTCATTATGTGAACCTTTGTTTTGGATCATCTCAGGGGTTGACAACTGGTGAAATGAGGGTTTGTTCAGTGTTCTCTACTCTATTTTCAGAATAAAGGATTTATAACAATGGGCTTTAGAAATTAGAAGGTCGCTTTAGTCATTGCAATCAATCGAAGATAAATATAGATTAAGAATAAGACCGACTTTCTTGGCAACACCATTATCATTTACCCATGTATATCGACAATGGAAATATATTTGTCCAAATGTTTCTTATGGCGAGCTTATCATAATATTATTCATATTATACAAATACGACCCTTTGTACTGACCCTTCAAAATCATCTGCACTCTCTGTCTGTTCAGTGGAATTTTTGACGTTCTTGTTTAGGACAAAGGCCACTGGCTGCTCTCCAAAATCCAACTTCCTCCCCACTAAGAAAACATGCAAATCCAATATGAAGTGTCTTTTGAGCTCTGATTATAAATACAATGTATTTTTGTATGTTGAAGCACTTATGTATATTTGAACCTATAATCAGATGATTTTATGTCGATGCTTGTCTTTTTCCTAATAGATGATGCTGCTTGGTGTAATTTATTTCTTTTTTTATACGTCCCGCCGCCTGCTATATGTTTTCCCCTTGTAAATGTTCGCACTGTACATGAAATGCTTCCTATTGCGGGCCATGACCTATTGTTATTTAAATAATAAACATTAAAATCTAAAAAAAAAAAATGTTTTCCTCCCTCATTTCTTGAACTATACGCTACCTGACAAAGGTCTTGTTGATCTCAGTTGTAATAGCAACAATTAATAACTTGACTTCTAGTTGATCTTTTGGAAAAGTGGCAGAAGGTGGACTTTTCCAATGAATCATCTGTTGAACTGCATCCCAATCATCACAAACACTGCAGAAGACCTATTGGAACATGCATGGACCCAAGATTGTCAGAGAAATCAGTCAAGTTTGGTGAAGGAAAATCATGGTTTGTGGTTACATTCAGTACGAGGGTGTGCGAGAGATCTGCAGAGTGGATGGCAACATCAACAGCCTGGTATCAAGATATTTGTGCTGCCCATTACATTACAAACCACAGGAGAGGGCAAATTTCTTCAACAGGACAGCACTCCCTCTCATACTTCAGTTCACATTGAAGTTCCTGAAAGCAAACAAGGTCAAGGTGCTTAAGGATTGGCCAGCCCAGTCACCAAAATTAACATCATTGAGCATGTCAAGGAAAAGATGAAGAAGGAGGCATTGAAGATGAATCCAAAGAATCTTGATGAACTCTAGGAGTCCTGCAGGTATGCTTTCTATGTAATTCCAGATAACTTTATTCATAAGTTATTTGAGTCATTGCAGAGCTGACAAATGGATTATTTTACTTCATAACAACCTCAAAGTATTATCGTCCGAAGTCAGGTATTACTTTTGTTTTATCTGAATATGTTTATTTAACTCTAAAAGTACTGGTAGCCTTTACAGTTTATGAATCACCAATTTTATTTAATGATCTACTTGGCGGCATGGTGGCTCAGTGGTTAGCACCGTCACCTCACAGCAAGAAGGTCTCTGGTTCAAGTCCCAGCTGGGCCAGTTGGCATTTCTGTGTGTAGTTTGCATGTTTTCCCCATGTTCGTGTGTGTTTCCTCTGATTGCTCCGGTTTCCCCCACAATCCAAAGAAGAGCGGTACAGGTGAATTGAATAAATGAATTTGCCTTAGTGTATGTGTGTGAATGCAAGAGTATATTTCCCTGTGTTATGTTATGGTTTAAAGGGTATCCGTTGCGTAAAACATATGCCAGAATAGTTGGCAGTTCATTCCACTGTGGCGTCCCTGATAAATAGGGAAGGAAATGTTCTACTAAAGAAAAGTAATCATCTTGGATGCCCTCTAGAGTACATTAACATCAACTTAAAATGTTTGGTTGACCTGTCCCTTTAAGAAGTGTTTGCATTATATATTCGCATTAACGCATCCTTATGCTGTGAGTGCAGCAGACTCAACTTAAGAGAGGATTAAACGTTGAAGTTGTCAAAAGGCATTCTTCAATAACACAATTTCAAGTATGCAATGATATAAGTGTGTGAGAGTTTAAATCCGACCATGAAAAACAAAGGCAGGAATGTGGCTTCTTTTAGACTGTTTCTATGCACAGCTCCCTGCTCTCTTTCTTTCTCACTCCCTTTTTTCTCCTCCTCTAATACACAGGGAAGTGGAATGTGACATGCATTCCTCTGTTAGTCTGTGCATCACTCGTTCAGCTGTCTGTTTGCCCTGCTGTTCATCTTACAAAAGACAAGGTCAGAAATACTGGGGCAAAGGCAACACTTGTTACTTAACCACAAATATGCCAATCCACACCAACACTTACTTTATTGTAGGTGAATTATATGATATGCAACATTTATTTATTGAATATATTCAACTGTGAGATTCGTTTGATGTTTACAGTGCATTTTAGGTGTTTGTAGACTTTAGAAATTGTGAAATGAATCAGTTATCTAAAATATTGCATAGAGTATGTGAAAAATGCATTGCTGTTAATGTCAACATTAGACAAAAAACGTGCTTAAAACACTCACGCTCATCACACACATGTAAATAAACAAAGATGGCTTGCCGCTGTCTCTATTTTTTGTCTTCTCTTTCATCGTGGCCTGTCACAACAACTCTATTTTCAGTGTGGATGAGTTGGAGAATTCACAGCTCATTTGTTAAACTGAGAAAGTGAGACTGGATCCCAGCGCCTCCTGCTACCACTCCAATATTAAACCATTACTGACTAAGAGAGAAGCACATTATAAACACATCCACGAACACTGGATGTTTCCTTTACAGAGGTACGCCTGATTGCTGAGTTGACAGAAATAACAAATTCATACAAAAAAATGTATTGATTTCACAGGTTAAAGGGATAGTTCACCACAAAGCTGAACATTTTCTTGAACACAAAAGATATTTCGTAAAATGCTGAAAACCTGTAACCCTTGACTTCCATAGTATTTGTTTTTC